TATAGAGATATATATATATATATATATATATATATATATTAAAAAAAGGATACTATCATAACACGTATATATATATCGGATAAAAAAAATTTAAATATATTTTTAATTTTTATAAAATAAATTAGTTTTAATTTTGGTTCTTGATTTGTTTTTTATTTTTCTAAAATTTTTAAATATTATTTTTGTCTATATAAAATGAGTTAGTTTTAGTTTTAACCTTATAAAATATTCTTTTATATTTTCATTCCTCTAAAATTGAAGTTATTATGTTTAATTTTTAACGGTTATTTTAAGGTATATTATATATATATAACAATTATTTTAAAAATTTATACAATTTAAAAGTACTACATATAAATAAAATATCACAAAACAATTGTTAGTATCATGTGGGATAGTCACATAAATTAGTTAAAAAGAACTATATAATAGTAGGAAGTAAAATAATAATTTTAAAATTTAAAAAAATTTAAAATAAAAAATATATAAAGACCAAAATCAAAACAAACTCATTTTATACAGACTTAAAATATATTTTAACATGTATACATTATATGCGTTTCATGTTGTAGTAAATAACAGTCTTAGTTTTGAGATTTTGTGAGTATTTTAGGGATTTGGATCCTCTCCTGCAATTTTCTCTCTTCAGCCTCTTTCTAAATACACCAATGCATACCAACAACGCAATCCAATGTCAACTAGCATTGGAATTCATATAATATAAAGGAAATCAATGACTAATTTGCTCATAAGCATTCACATATAATAATTTCAACAACCTACGGGGCTTAAGGATCATCCCTCTACTCTTATCTCTCATATATGCCAAAGGAATAGACAATTTCACTCCCTTTTACTAATAGTTACAACTCTAGTGGAACAATGCTTCTCTTGTAGTTCTTGTTACTATTGTGGAGAAAAGAAAGATACTAAAAAGGGGGTTGAATAGTATCAATAAAAAAACTTAGACTTTTTCGAAACAATGAAGTAGTAGTGAAACTATAGGAGTGTAGATGAAAGAGTAAGTCAGAATAACACAAAGTATTTTTTATACTAATTCATCTCAAGCATTAAGACTACGTCCAATTCTTGATTACACCTGATCAAGATCCACTATCCTTTACCAAGATATAAGTATTCTTTAACAAGTCACTTAATAAGCTCAACCTAAGTATTCTTTAATTTATTTCTTCAAGCAACTATGCAAGTATTCTTTAACGCAAAGCCTCTCTAGGCTTCAAATACCAAGTATTCTTTTATAGACAAGTCTCTTTAGGCTCAAAGAAAAACAAATATTCTTTTACAATTAAGTCTCTCTAGGATCAAAATAATAACACAAAGCTAAAGTTGTGTAAACTAATAATGTTGTTTCGTCTTACTATCAAAATTTGATACAACCAATTAAGTACAATGCTTTACAAAAAGACTGATTATGATGTTTACAATGTGTGTTATCTTTTTTTCTAAATCTTCAAGCTTATTTATATTGGTTCTTTAGTTAAAATGATTGATGCAAATCCTTAAGCGTCTCTCATAGGCTTGCTTCGTATGCCTTCAATTTTCGTTCCTTGTGGAGAGAAGTGTCTGTTGGTGCATTATTTGTTTACATTAAATATATTTCACCAAATGGTCATTTCTTATTTGATCAAGAAAATCACTTATTATCTTTTAAGTACCAAATAGATGGAGTCATGCATGTGTCAATTCAAAACAACTTTTTTGAAAATTTTTGTAATTCAAGGGATCTACTTGTCTTTTTCTAACAAAAAGCATGTCTTTATTTTCTTTTGTCATTGCAGGTACCGAGGAAGATATTTTACTTCAATCTGTTAAGGAATCACATACAAAAAGATTGATTTAGTTATTAAACATCATAAATGATATTAATTCAAAGTACATGTCTTCCAGATGAAGTATTTCGTATGTTAGACATTTTTGTCAAGATAATAGATTGTCTTAATGCATTTGTCTCATATAGAAGAATCGTCTTATATTGAGCATTTGTCTTATTGATAATCTTAAAACTTTTATCAAAAAATATTTGTGTTTGTTATCATTAAAACTTTATAGCTAGTCGAAGAAATTTAAGATCATTTTTTGACTTAACAGTTTTTCTATTCATTTCTTGGTGGTCTCCTCCTACGGGTGCTCTAAATTTTTAGAATAAGTGTATAATGACATAACTCTTTTTCTATTTTCCCTTTTTTTAATTAGTTTCCAGATTAGGTCTAAAGTCTAGCTCAAAATCTTTTGATTAATTATCCCTATTTTATTTTTAGTAATAAAATATTTCTCTTATATTTTCTAATGGTTCTAATTTAATTATTATTTATTTTAAAATATTTAGATGTTACAATTGTTACCTTCATCATCATTATCGTTTTAATCATTATCATCATTATAACTATTGCCATCATTATTATTATTGTTATCATACAAAATGTACAAATTTAAACTTGTGTTACAAAATGTACAATTTCAAAAAATTGTAAAATATGAGTAATAAAAAATGTAATTAAATATTTTAAAAATATATTTTAACATTGATTCTAGACTTTGTTAAAAGAACTTTATATATCGTAGAAATAAACTAGATATCCTTAACTAGTATTTTTATGTGTGTCTATCTCTTCATATATTAAATTAGTTAATCTTTACAATAATTATTTTAAAAGTTATATCAAAATTTACTCAATAATAAATTAGGATTAAAATAAATTTTGAGATTTTTCTTTTTAAATTAGAAAAATCTGTGTTGAATTATATTACCAAATTTTTAAAACCTTTTTTTATCAACATCTTTTCTGTTTTATAAAACATAAAAGGGAAATATTTTTACCTGTGACCTAAAATTAAGATTTTCATACCTTTATCCTCATGTTGAGTTTGAGTCATATCAACAATGACTTTTTATATATTAATTGATAATTGTATATAATCATTAATATATATGGAAAACATTTTCTTAATAATTTTTATCCGCAAAAAATGATAATAAAGATAACAAAATCCCAACTAAAATTGTGTAAATATTATTCCAATATCACTGACAAAAAAATAATATTTCCTTTTAATATCTAAAGCTATCAAAAATTCAATCCGAAAATTAATATAAACTGAATATTTCCACATCCACGCGTTCATACATGAATTTATTTGAATAACATTGTTTAATCTCCTTAGATTAGAGTAATTTCTATCCAACCTCAACGGCCTTTGGTATTTGTCCAGTTACCACGTGATACCATAACCCACCTTAAATATATATATATATACATAGCAGACACAACATTAGAGTCCGCAACCAAAAGGAAACGCAGAAGAGATTAAAAAAAAAAGGGCTGAAATGGCCGCCACATTACCCTCCGATTACGACGGTCTCCGGTCGCCGCTGCTGCTGGCGGCGGCGAGGAAGCCGGCGACGGAGAAGCTGTGCATCGACGAGATGCTGCAGAAGCACTGCGGAGAGTTCGGGCGGTGGCAGCTGAAGCACTTCATCCTCACGAGTCTCGCGTGGGCGCTCGAGGCCTTCCACACCATGGTCATGATCTTCGCCGATCGTGAGCCTGACTGGACCTGCGTCGCCGGCGCCGCGTGCGACGGCGCAGGCGGCCTCTGCGGCCTCCCGGCGGAGTCGTGGGAGTGGGTCGGCGGGCCCAGCGGCTCCACCGTCTCCGATTGGGGTCTGATTTGTGGTGACAAGTTTAAGGTTGGACTCGTCCAGGCCGTGTTCTTCGCCGGCTGCATGATTGGTTAGTTCGCTTTTGCTTCTTCTAAACTCTTCTTCTTAGCCATCAATTTTTCTTCTGTTTTTGGTTTTTTTTTTTTCTATTTTAACCTTTTTAATTTTGAACCGCCTAATTTTGATATTCAAAGTAGTTTAGATATTGTTTTTACAATTGCATTTAAGTGTTAGCAAGATAATGATTCTGATTGAATACAAGCTTAGAAGCAAAGTTGTTATTATACTATGCTTTCAACTTATATTCAAATAAATTTAATATTAAAAATTAAAATTTATTGATTTCAAATTAGAGTAACTAAAATAGTGCACTTTTTTAAGAGAGGAAAAATTAGCTTAGAAAAACATTAGGAAAATAAAATAAATTGACTTTGAATGAATTAAAAATGACTTATACAGTTAATTTTTACGAATTTTTTTTTTTTCTTTCTTTCTTTGACCCTTGAAGTAGATAAGTTGATTTTAATTAATATACTATTTTCTTTTTATTTGATAAGTAGTTATCTAAAGATGATCTTAATATTGAACTATTTGATGATTATTTGAAAATATTGATAGCGAGATTATTTGACTATAGCGTTTAAGAAAGCGTTGGTAGGATGTGATTGAGGAACGTTGTAGATGATAATTTTTTAAAGAATTTTCTATAAAAAATATGTAAAATTTCACGAGAACCGTAACTTGAAACATGTAAATTTTTGTCGGGTACTAGTGGCGCAACTTGAAATATATTTAGTAGTAAACTAACAAGTGAATGGTTCACAAAATTTGAGTATGACGTAATGTTTATGGTTTTCTTTTCTCTTTTGGACTTGTGGTGGTTCTTGTTTGGGAAGGTTTTGTTTTTAATTTCGAGCATTAGAATTATAATATAGTCGCCTAAAGGATAAGATGATGAACGGCGAGATGGGCGTGAGGGACAAGTGGAGAATACTGAATAAACTATCATTTCGTTACCAAAGTAAAGTATCACTCTTTTTCTTAAATAATCCTTAGATTACTACATTTATATAAACAGTTAATATCATGCTACATTAGTATTAAAAAATTCAAATTAATATTTCAATATTAATAAAATAGATAAATTGATAAATATTCAATATATTAGAAATTATTTAAATGATTTTATTAATTTAAAGAATTTTTAAAGGATTTATCAATTTAAAGACTATTTTTAAAAAAGAGAATGATGCTTTATTATAAACTAAATTAATGGTATATTCGCGTGAGATTCGAGTAAGGGAGAATATAAGTGAGAAAAAGTCAGTTTCTGGAGAAGTTGGGTTGGAATAAGAACGAAAAAGCAAGAAAAGTGTGAATGAGAAAAAGAACTAACCGAATGCAGACAGCAGAGTGCAGACATTTTTGTTTGTCGTTTCCCCAGTTAGATGTATTTCGTTTATTTATTTGGTTGTTTTTGTTTCCAATTTGTCGTTTTCTTAGAATTCTTGGTTGGCAAAGTTGAATACTTCATTTCAAAGAACAAGTGGACGACAACTTTTTAAGTCATTTGTTTACTAATATTTATTCTACATGTGTCACTATTTTGCTTTCGTTCCTTTCTTTTTGACGTATCAGTGAATACCATTAAGTACATATAATATAAAATAAAATTAGATACTCATTTTATAATATACACACTTCTTTATATGTAGAAAAAATGTAGTAGGTTCCCGCTGTAAATTGAATACTCATCTTGTCGTCCGTAGACCACTATAATTCAAAAAGGAAAAAAGAATTCAATAAAGCTAAAGATAAGTGTAGAGCTTCGTGGGCTATATCATGACAGTGGTACAAATTTATACAAGTTCTTACTGAAAAGATACAGCAATTATTAAAATCAATATCACATAAAGTCACTTTTGCACCATACATGATTCATGATTTCGAAGTTTCATCTACACATGATGATATTTACATATTTGTTGTGAATTTGAAATTGTTATTATACATGCTTGGCTTCTCTGTTATTCTTGGAATATATATATATATATATATATATATATATATATGTGTGTGTGTGTGTGTTGCGTGTAAAATATTCAACATATGAACAATCTTAGACTTTTCCCTGGCCGAAAGCTCCTGTGCGCGCATGACGCATGTGACTCCTTAAACCATTCCAAAATATGTACACACCTAAACTTTTCCCAGATTAAAAAACACCACTTGACACGCATATCTTAAATAGTTTATACATATACTTTATAAGAAAGATATAATATGACCAATTTGGAAGATGACAATCGAAAGTTTGTTCAATCAGTAAAACTTTGACACAGTACCAGGGATTTGCCTTTTCTAGCTCTGATTAACATATTGGCTCAAAATTCATCTATAGATGGTGTATGCCAGGAATATGCCAACAAAAATATATATCGTTTCTATATTATTACTGTTTATTAAATAGTGTTTTAGTTATCTATGCTTATACTATAGCCAACAGTTCCCCAAACCATTGAGTGGATTCTTTAACATTATTAGTACTAGAATAAGCTAGTTTTAACTTAATAAACAAGAGAGTACTGAGAAGAGTTTAACTTGTGTCAGTGCAATTCATGCAAAGACTCGGCAATGATATCAATCACATAGTTACAAATGGTAACTGTTTCCATCTAAAACAACAAAACAGAAAACTGTCATGACAATATATCCAAGTAAAATGTTTCTTTCGTTGAGGTTAACATGTCACAGTATTGTTTCTCTTCGGTGCACACATAATTGTTAACCCAACACTGATTAATGGCACATAACAACATTGCAATTTCAGGTGCTGGAATATTTGGCCACCTCTCAGATTCCTCTTTAGGAAGGAAAGGCTCTCTGAGAGTGGTTTGTGCCCTAAACGCCATCTTCGGCTGCTTAACAGCGTTGTCACCAAACTATTGGATCTACGTCCTCCTCCGCCTCCTCACCGGCTTCAGCACCGGCGGCGTCGGTCTCTGCGCCTTCGTCCTCGCCACCGAACCAATCGGCCCGACGAAGCGCGGCACGGCGGGGATGTCCACCTTCTACTTCTTCTCCGGCGGCATAGCATTCCTCTCAGCCATTGCCTACATCTTCCAAACATGGCGCTATCTCTACATAGCCTCCTCCATCCCCTCCTTCCTCTACATCATCCTCGTCCTTCCCTTTGTAACCGAGTCCCCAAGATGGTACCTCGTTCGCGGAAGAGTATCCGAAGCCATGAAAATCATGTCAACCATTGCTTCTTCCAACGGGAAGCACCTTCCCGACGGTGTTATCCTCGCACTTGATGAAGAAGCATCGGAGAAAACCAACCAAGGTTCAGGCCATGACGTCGTAGCATGCAATAACCAACACGAGGAAAACAAAGACGCGCTAGTTGGGTCCATCGTGGACGTGATTCGATCCCCTATAACTCGTTTAAGGTTGTTCCTAGCGGTGGCTCTTAACTTCGCAGCCTCCGTGGTGTACTATGGTCTCAGCTTAAACGTCGTGAACCTCGAAACGAACCTTTACATGAACGTGGTGCTGAATTCCGTGGCGGAGATGCCGGCGTTTACGATAACGGCGGTGCTCTTGGATAGGTTTGGACGGAAACCGTTAACGGTGGGGACGATGTGGTTTAGTGGGTTGTTTTGTTTGATAGGGAGTTTGGTGAGAAACGTGGGGGTGTGGAAGGTGGTGAGAATGGTGTGTGGTGTTTTGGGGATATTTGGGATGGCGGGGACTTATAATTTGTTGTTTATTTACACGGCGGAGCTGTTTCCGACGGTGGTGAGGAACGCGGCGCTTGGGTGCACCACTCAGGCGTCGCAAATGGGGGCCATATTGGCGCCGTTTGTTGTCGTTTTGGGAGGGTGGATGCCGTTTGCGGTGTTTGCAGCGTGTGGGATAGTGGGAGGGATGTTTGCGTTTTATCTTCCGGAGACGCTGAACAAACCTCTCTATGATACATTCAGTGGATTGGAAGCTGGACTTGCTTGATTGTTGTTGCTGTTTTTTTTTTTTTTTTTTTTTTTTTTTTTTTTTTTTTTTTTTAATTAGTACTAATCTCATACATGTTTTGCTTTGGTGCTTTTGAATGGAATCTCTATAGTTTCCCTCTTTTATTTTTGTCAGATTGTGTAGAGTGAAAAACTATATATATTTTCTAAGGATTAAAACAACTCCAACAGAGTGAACCTATTGAAGCTTAAAGCCTTAAACAACTCCAACCGCGTCCAAACAAACAAAGGCAAATAACTCTGGTGTGTTTTTTTTTTACTATAACCCACAGAATATTGTCTTCTCTCGCTTGGTTGAGGATGGGTACGTAGGAAATTCGCTGCACTGTAGCTCTAATCTTTTTCACAAGATTCTAACATGTCTCGTATAGTCATATCATATCTTACTTCTAATTCCACTCACTACATCATTGATAAGGAAAAGTCGATTAAATTTCTCTGAAGCGAAGAATTGTGTAAAGTGAAAAGGAGAAGAATCATCTAAGGATCAATCCCTAGTAAGGAAAAATTCGTTGAGATAGGTAATCCTTTAAATAAATTTTAATATTTTAATACATTAGTCATTAACATTTGACAAGGAAATATCTTGGTAAAAAAAAAAAAAGGTTATCATTTTGGTTTGAATTTTTAAAAAAAATTAAAGATGTATTAGATTAAGATTTCAAAAGACTATTTTAGCATAAAAATGAATTTTAAAATTTTTTTAAAGGATGTCATGGCTTTTTAACTTTTTTAATTTAAAAGACTTTTAAAACATGAATTTTAATCGAGACTTTATAATTCAGATTTTAATGGATTTTGATGAATTTGTATTACAAGATTTTAAAGAATTTGATGATTTTCATAAGAAAACATGGATTTGTAAAACACATTTAAGGTTATAATAATTAATAAAAAAAATATAACATAAATAATAAAGAAAAATAAAGTTAACACAATTTTTCTTATCTTTTGACAAATAATTATCTTTAATTTTTGACAAATAATTGACTCTAATGTCCTCCTAACTAACATTTCTCCACATTATCTGAAGTTATAATAATTCTTTATGCACTGATATATTCTCTTTCATACTCTTGAGTCTAAACAATATATTCAAAATTATGGTATTCATTAATTGTTAGCACCAAAGATATATGAAGATTCATCATCTAACTCAATTGAAAATCCATCAGAAAAATATTTTTTTGCAAAGAAAGTTATGTAGTGTTATACACATTAATACAAGTTCAACTTATGTCTTAAATAAGAGTAGAGACGGTAACCTAAAAATTGTGAAACGTGATTTAAAAATATCAAATATCATCTCAATCAAAAATTTTTTAGGATATAAGACATAAATTGAATAATTCATTTTCTTGGAGATGATATCACACATCTCGAAATGAAGCTAAAAATTAACGTCATTTAAGAAACTCATAGTTTGTTAGAAAATATTTATTAATTACATATATAACACATAAAATTAGTATGAAAAGTTTAAAAAATATATTTATTATTAAATATATATATATATATATATATATTTATATTTATATTTATATTTACCTTGAGCTACTTTAAGTCCATTTCTCTTTGTCAAAACATCACTTAATTACTTGAAATCATGAGTTGAACTCTCCCAACAGCTAAAAACATACATGAAATCCAAATCAAATTTACAAGTTGTTAATACATTTTGTGATATCTTCCATGACGATATTGTTTATATCTTGTCCCCTCACCATTGTTGGAATGTGAGTACAATCAATAGCTCCGATGTAATCCAAATAATTTCTTTTATATATTATTAAAGTTTAATCACAAAAATATAAATCAAATACTTCAATCAAAATATAATAAAAATGACACTTAAAAAATAGGTTACAACAAAGAATGAATCATCCTAACTTGAAGTTTATCCAAGATAAACATTCTTCTAATGATATCTCAAAGAATGTGTCTTCTTTGCTTTAGTATCAAGCAAATCAGCAACTATAATCCAAATTTGGCATCACTTTTATAAGATCCCAAATATTAATTTTTTTTCTCTCTATCTTTTTCTCATATTTTTTTTTTCAATATGTTAGATTTTTTTTATATATAAAATTGATAAAAAATAGTTCCAATGCTAGTTGAAAGAGTATCTAGAACCTTGGTATCATTGTTGGTACTAATTGAATTAGAACTCCTCCCTACTTGGATTTACTTCTCTTTTGATGACTTGATTTTTCAATGAAAACTTCCAAACTTAAAAGAGGACTAGACAATGGACTACATTTCTAAGATGGTGAAGATTGGTAGGATGGTTTGTAGTTATCTGGTTGATAAATTATATATCAATATTGATAGATAAAAATGTGACAAAAAATATTGATAGATAAAAAAGGATAGGAGAAAAAATAGAGAGAGAAAGAAAACAAATAAATGAGAGAGAAGAACAAAAAGAGAAAGAAAATATGAGATAGAGAAGACATAAGAAGAGAGAGAGGAGGGGAGGGAGAAAGAGAGAAAAAATGAGATATGGAAGAGAGAGAGAGAGAAGAGAGAAGAAAAAAGGTGAGGGAGTAAAAAATAAGGAGAAATAAAAAAAAATCATGTGAAATCTCAAATATTTTTGTGAGATTGTTGAATAAGTAAATTCTACAAAAAAAAAAGTATCATAAAATTCATCCTTTTTCAAATGATCTATTGAAATTTTTATATCTTTGAATACTATCAGAATTTGATGTACTTCTAAAAAAATCTCAATTATCTTAATAAAACTAGATTTTGACATACTCTTAAAAAAATATTAAATATCTTAATTAAATATCACATAATTTATTTTTTATATCATTCAGGCCAGATCCTTAATTTTTTGTCAAACTTTACTTATCTTTGATCAAACCAGATTAATATAAGGAGAAATCTTAGAATATATGTGAAAATTGAAAAAAAAATATAATTTTTATATTAAAAAATCTTAATTGAATATCATAAAAAAAATTATAATAATTTTTAAATTTTTTTTAAAATTTCAATCCAATACTTGTATTGTTTTGGTTTTAATTTACTCATTTATTTTATTCCGATCATTGCAGTTTTTTTCTTTTATAAATGTTCTTGAAATATGTTTTATTTTAGAAAAATTCTACATTCTCTGAAATAGTAGTCCGAAATTTGTTTCAAATACTTAAAAAAAATTAATTTAAACGGTAAAATATTAAATTAAATAATTATTTTATAATAAATTTATTAAAAAATATGATTATTTTAAACATTCGAAATATATTTTGTATCAAACGACAAATCAAACACATTCGTAGTAGTTCTCTTTATTTTACTAGTAGTTCGTGTGATTAGATGTTTTGGACTTGACTAACTATTTATGATGTTAAAAGGTGTTCCACGCGCCATCAAATGATGACATCATCAAATATTACTGTCAAAAAGTGTAATGCTAGAAACGTTGTACCGGCAAGATTTAAAAGCAAAAAATTATTTAGATAACTAAAAAATTAAATATAAACAATTAATGGGAGTAGAAAGAAAAAAAAGCGACATACTTATGTGGATAAAAATATATCTTAAATTAAATATTAATATAAAAATGCATGTATGAAATAGATGATAGTGATAACAAGTTACTATAAGAAAAAAGAAACTAGACTTTTCTTAATTATATAGCATAGAAACAAACCAAAGTCAGTTTTTATGGAGGTACAAATTTATTGATTTCTAAATTATTACGCAATTAGTGAGGATATTTAATACAAAGTACACAAAATTAACAAATTGAAACAGCGCAACAATAAAGATATAAAAGATTTTAATTGAAAAAGTCATCAATCCAGATGATCTAATAATTCATTTAGTAAAATTATAATGCTTCATCAACAGAATTCGAATAAACTCAATCTCATCATATGAACAATAATTCAATTAGATAATCATAAACCAAATTTTTCAGAAGAAAGATAAGAAAATTTAGAAAAACTTCTCTCGAAAGCTAAGCCAAATTCTTCCAAAATGAAGAGAAAGTGTTACACTCAATTCAATAATGACTTATTTATAGATATCAAAGTTGGTGGGGTCAAGTCAGATTTAATTATAATTAAGCCCACTATTTATCTTATTAACAAGCTAAACTATTCCTAACTTGGAGTCCTATTGAGAGCTCAAATTCAAGTGCAGAGACAAAGACTTCGTGTAAGAATTTGTAACTATTAGAGTCTGACTTGGTGTTAGTTTACGAGATATAAAATAAATAAATACCTTTTTTTAGTTTGTTTAACCCACGACATTTGTCAAATTTCAATATTTGTAGCTCTAATTAGGATATGTACAAGACAACAATGCCAAAATGAGGCAAAATATGAGAATTAACTAAAATTATGAATTAAGCTAACTAATATAAAATATAATCAATTTATCAATATTATACACACAAGTTAATTATAAGTCTAAAATAATACCAAATGAACATATCAAATATGTTTTATTACTAGACTTGTTTGAAAAATATAATATGAAATAAACATTTAAAGGTGAAAATACGTTAAGTGATTGACTTTTATAGGTTTTTGTTTAGTCTAATGGATAATTATATAATTTAAACTTGATCTATTTATGTGTCTTAGATCAATTTTTAAGGTATAATTTAATCTATTCAAAGGCTTGATCATTGACATTAAGTCACTTCATATTTTCATCCCCGTAGTCCTTAATTTAAGAAATTCAGGTCAAGTCAAATTGATTTTTTTAAAAAACAAATTAATTTATTTAGGAAAACAATATCAACATATACTTAACTTCACAATTGAATCATACTCAACTTTATATATAAAAAAGAACAAATTCCAAACAAAAAGTTAAACTCACCATGGATCCATGATAACAATATATAGAGAAACAAGTTAGGATGTCATCATTCCTTCAAATAGGTTAAGTCATGTATGTAAACTGTCATATAAAAAAGTCTTGATTCTCTTGGTAAACACCTTTTGTATCAAACTATATATATAATTATATTTTGCTATAGATGTCAATGTGGTAGGAAATATGAGTAATAATTCTTTACTATTTGTCTCATCAGACAAATATTTGCTCATACTCGTTCTTATATTTATGTAGATACTCA